ACTCAAACAGCATCTCTAGTTAGTTCCAATGAGATTCTAGGTCTACTAGTTAACATCAAACAGTACAGTTTTGGGATCAAGCTTTACTTCCACATCTTTGCCACTGAACCTTTCTTGGCAAAGTCGAGCAACATTTCCAGCTCCAAGCTTAGTTAGCACGAATACCTCACTTCGCCAGATGAGCAATGCTTATCTATCCATGTTTGCCTAAACCCTACTCCTATAATTTATCCCAAATAATCCCTATGAACTTAGATTCATAGGTTCATTGATGACTTGTATATAAAAATACTGATCAATTGATGAAAATGATGAAATTTAATTGATAAGGAAATAATAAAGGAATAAGACTTCATTATGTATGCTTGGCAATGCAGCCATGTACTATAACATTAAATACTGTTGAGCCTAGCCATGTATTACAACATTAGATATTGCTAGACCTTTTGGTAAATGCATGTTAAAAGCATTAATGGGCACTTAGATCAAGATAGGTCTTGGTTACATGGAAACTACCCAAGTCCAAGTTTGACCTTTTACAAAAATGTCCATCAACAACAACTAAGAACCGTACTAAAAGGGTGACATAACTTTGACCTTCACCAAATGCCATAGTGAGTCTAAGCACTCATTTGATTGGAACTGGCAAGTTATTGAATCCATAAATAGGGCTATCATACCTCTACAACAAGGCTAGGTCAAGTCCAAGACTCTCAAAATAGTGGTAATACATTATATCAAGCACACTCCCAGTATCAATGAGTACATGTTAGACCTCACAATTGTTAGACATCACAATTGTTAGACATCACAATTGTTAATTATGGTTGAAGTGACCAGTGGGTCATTGTGAGGTGTAACAACACTGTCAAGGTTAGCAAATGTGACAGTTATAGGCTGACTCTTCCATTTGACATCATCAAACTTTCTTTTCTAGGCTCGGCTCTAGTCTTTGACCTCATTAACGTATAATTTTTATTGCTTAGAGCTTAATCCTCCTGCTTCAAGTCCATCAGTTATCATGTGAATAATTCCAGTTAAAGGTGGAAGGGCGATGGAGCTTGTTGGTACCCTATTCCATCTATGCTATTTGCATTTTGAGGTCTTTAGGGCTATTGTCCCTACTCTCTTACAAACTTAGGTTGGTTTTTGTTTTGAATATATTCATTTAACATCCCTTTATGAGCTACCTTTCTAGCTCAAATTTTAGGTTATTGCATTCCTCTGTTGTATGGCCGTGATCTTGGTGAAAATCACAATATCTTGTGTGATCATATGTGCCAATCGAACTCCTCATTGGACTTGGCCTCTTCAACTCTATTTTGTTTTTAATCTGCATTAAAATCTACGACCTCGACAAAGTGAAAATAGTCCATGTGGTTGATGGCTTTATAGATAGTGCTTGGGAAATTACTAATTCCGATTTGCCAAACTTAGGTATAGAGATTAGACCTCGATTTGAGCTTTGTTAATCTTTTCTTGCTTTGCCCTTCTTCCCTCCAAGTTGGACTTTAGTTATCTTTAACAGGTGTTGACTTTCAAGATAAAGCATATTCCTTAACTGTGATAAACTTCTGAGATTTGTCATTGACCTCATCAAAGTAGTAGGTAGCTATTTAATTAGGTTGTCTCGAAATCGTTCATGGTTGAGGCTTTGGATTATGGCAACAATCCTATCTACTTGATTAAAAAAGTTGATTTCGAGAATTGTATCATTGAATCTATTCATATAATTCTTTAAAGATTCTCCTTCTCATTATATTCTTCACTTGAGATCTAGTGTTATCTTCTTTATCAATCTTCTGTTGGAGAATTTAGTGGCAAAAGCAATTGCCATTTCCATATAAGAGCTAATGGACCTTAGAGGCAGGCTATAATACCATGTTCAAGCATTGCCACGAAGGATTGAGAGGAATATGTTACACGTCAAAGTGTCTAAGGCATTTTGAGCCTGCATGCAAAAGAAGAAGCATGTAAATGGTCATCCAGGTCCTTGGGTCCATCATATGTTTCAAATTGGGGCATTTTGAACCCAGTTGGATAGGGCCCTTAAATAATATTAATATTCAAAGAGTGCAACATGGAATTAACATTATTTTGAGGTGGTAAAACACCTCATTTCTCAACCACCATTCTTTCTAAACTATCAAGACGTTTTGTAACTTCATATGACAAGATTGCATAAGGTGGAATTGCATGGGACTGACCTTGTGACTCACTCAGGATTAGAGCATCTTGACTATCATTGGAATGAGCATTATATTATTCTTGTTGTTGGTTAGGGGTTGTTAAGTTGGATTCAACCGATTGATGAAGGGGTCACTAGGGCTATTTCTAGCTAGAAGTTGGGCTAACATCAGCTAAAAAACCCCAAATTGTTGTTGCATCACTACAAGTTGGACTACTATTGCATCTCCTTACACAACGGCTTGGTTCTGAGGTTAGTTCTCATCTCCTCCTTCAAAATGTTGCTCTATGTGAGTGTTTAGGTTTGGTGTGGATTGCAAGAAGTTATTAGTGTTTAATCCTTGACCTTGACCAAAACGTTGGGCCTGGCTTCCAATGAGAGTAGAGCGGGTATTAACCATGTCACAAAGGTAGTACTAGCAAAGCTTTCAGTTTAGTTTCTCATAGATGACACCAAATGTAATTGCAATAAACTTGCAAGTCTTTCCCAGTCCTAGTCTTCTCTTTGAACAAACCTGCAAAGCTCCAAGGTTGGTTCTCAGAGTAGACACTCTGATGCTTAAGTTAACAATAATTTGATCTACTTTAAAAGGAAATAGAAAGAAAGCTTTAGATTGGTTTCAATTATCTACAGGAAGTGACTTTCGGGGGTATTTATAAGCTTTAATAAGGTATCAATGTGGCCTTCTTAACGAAATAATCGGGATCTGATATGTCCATAAGAGTGGGTATCTTGAGAATAGGGGATTAGGTGAGTACATTCCCATTGTTTTCATCATGCAACTGCGAAGAGCTGAGCTTGAGTCTTACCTTGGTTATCAAGTGATCCGAGCTCAAACAACTTGGAGAGAGATGGTTCGAATTTAATATACACATAATATGTTTGAGATTAATGATCTCGAACTTACCCTTACATATAGATTTGTGATTTAACATTTAAAAAATAAGTTGAATTTTTTGTAAATACTGGATAATTAGTAGGGTAAAATAAAAATTTAACTTGAAATAAAATAAATAAATTTTAATAATTTAAATAATTATTAGTAGAATTTAAATAAACAAATTAACTTGAATTAACTTGAATTTTAGTAGAATTTAAAATTTTATTATATTTTTGAAAATCTCAACGAAAAGGGATTCTCACGAGGTTCCATGACATTTAATGGGGAAAAAAATTATCTTCGCCTCTGCTAACCCTACGCTCATAACGTAGAAGCTTGGCAATTCTCATGGGAAGCAGCATGAATTGCCATTCCTAATTACAAGTCTGACTTTTATCAAATAAAAGGAAAAGCATCGCGAACGACTTAGGTTGTGCTTGGTATTAGGGCGTAGTGTTACAATTATAGTAGTTTTTAAAGTATTTTATTATCACAAAAAAATATTATTATTTAATAATTATTTTTAAAAAGGTGTTTTATATTCTTATAATCACTATTATAATTGTAATTTTTAGTTTTTAATTTTAATTTTGTAAACTTTATAACGGTTAAAAATCAAAACAAGAGACTAAAAATCAATAATTTGTTTAAAATAAGGTTAAATTTTAACAATTAAAGCTATAAACTTGTTTATTAATATATTGAGCTATTTTTTTTGTTTACTAATCATCATAATAATTTGATAACTAAATGATAAATTAAATGAGTTTTGTTATTTAGGATATTTGAAAATTTTATGAAAATCAAAACTAAAAACAAAAACCATAGCCATGCAAAATGAAGCCTCAATCATACATAATATTAATTAAAAATAATTTAATTATAATAACTTAACGCTTTTATTGAAGAGCTGTGAGGAAAAGTATTATAAAAAGGCAATTTCAAACACAATCTTAAGCCTTTTCTTGGGATGAAAACTAATATAGGAAAGGGAAGAGGGAAAGGGAAGAGGAGAAGGGAAGCAAAGGGAAGAATTAGTGTTAAAAGTTGTTTGGATAGATAAAAATAGAAAGGATGGGTGGATAACATTTTTATTTAATTAAATAATTTAAAAAATATAATAAAATATAATAAAAATTAAAAAATTATTTATTAAATAAATAATTAAAATAAAATATTTATATTTATTTATTTGAAGAAATTTTAAGAATAAATAAATATACAAACAAAATTTGTCACAATTTTTTCAAATTATAAGGATGAAAACAAGAAAAGTGGAAGGAGCTTGATTTTCGTCCATCTGCCTCTCCTTCCATTAAAAAGAGCAATTCAAATACGAGAAGAGGCACCTCCTCCTTGTCTTCCCCTTTCCTCTAAGTGTAGTGATATAAAAATATTTTTTTATATAATTTTTATATGTTATAAAATAAATAAATAAATTTGATTTCATAAGTTTTAAATGAATAAAAAAATTAATTATTTGAATGATATGTAAAATTATACTAAAAGATAATAAGTCATATAAAAAAATATTTTTAAATTATTTTTCTTCACTCTAAATCCCTTAATTTAAATATATTGTAAATAATTAAATAATAATTTTTTTCAATAAAAAAAAGTAAAGAATCGTCATAAATGTAGAAATACCACGGGTTAAAAGATGGTTCCTTCAATTATATACCTCAATATATATATATATATATAAATAGTGAGAAAAAAGGAAAATTAGTAACATAAATTCAAAAAATAAAATAGAAAAAGGAACCGAATAAATAGCTAAGGTTAAGGAAAAAGAAGAAGAAGAAGAAAAAACACTAATAAGATTAAAAAAATTTTTAAAAAATTAAAAAAATAAAAAGAAAGAGAAAAGAGGTAAACCCCCAATTCTCCAAATTCCAAGGTTTCCCCAAATTTCTGTTCGTCCGCATATGCTTCCCTTCCTCGCTTCCCTGTTTCAACTCAAACGCCACCAAAGCCCTTCCCTGAAGATTCACACAGACAAATATTATACATACAAACCTATATACATACGGTTTCTTACGTATCTGAATGAATGAATGAATGAATGAATTATGGTTTTCCCCTTCTTCTTCACTTCAAACCTAACAGCGGGAAGAAGAACAAGAATAGAGACCCTAGCAAGAAGAAACATCTTCAATCCCACGACTTTTGGGTTGATTCTGGTTTTTCTACCCAGAATGCGAAACCCCTTTATATAATACCATCAGAACTTACCTAAATCCTCCCGATCTCCACCACCATGTCCCTGGATTCTTCCCCTCCCCATCCGATTGCTCCCGACCCTCCGCAGAACGACACCTATCAACTCCAGAACGAGGATATTGCAACGGAGAGCGTGGATGCAGTGGCTGCCACGCCGCCGCTTACTAGGAGCAATCGCCCTTCGCGGGCTTGCACACTCCGGGCTGCACAGAGGCTACAGGCGCAGCAGCAGCAGGCTGCGTTTGAGCGGAGACAGAAGCCTGTAAAGAAAGAGCAGAAGCAGCAGCGTGAGCGGGAACAGGAGCAGCAGCAGCAAAATGATGGGTCATCGTCGCCACAGCAATGTAGTGGCAGCAGTAAGATTATAACGCCTCTGGTGGGGTCGCCGCCGCCCTCTCAGTTGCCACGGTGGACCCTTCGCTCCATGTGGGAGTTAGCTTCAATTCTTAATTTTTTGCATGTGAGTTTCTTTTGCTCTTTCTCTTTTAATTTTGTAGTGTTCTGTTTTGAAGGCTTATATTTTGTGGTTTATCTGTTTCTGAGTTTTTCAGGTTTTCAGGCCGCTTTTGAATATACAAGTTGAGTTCTCAGCAGAAGAGTTCGAGACTGCACTTATTACTCCCAATGATACTTTGGGGGATATTCACATACCTTTGTTAAAGGTTTGTTTTTGGCCTTTTCAAAGTCTTCTCCTGTAAAAGTTAGTGTTTTCTGTTCAACTTTTAACATGCTTGATTTTGGTTTTCCAAAGCTGGCCAATTTCTCTCGATTTGTTCTTATAGTTGGCATTCTAGCAAATAGTTCTTAGTTCTCAGTTATTGTTTCTTGTAGTCCAATATCTATTTTCCTTTTTCCCCTTCTGTTTGGGGTGGGGGTTGGGCAGGAGAGTATTTTGACGGTATACATATCAGTTCATTGCTGGGGGTGCCAACGGAGAGTTTAGTTTTCTGCTGATAATCTGGAGTGTGGCACAGTGATGGTTAATGGTTCTGTTGTATGATCCCATTGACAGGCAAAATTAGGTTTAGGTCACTTATCCCTGGCTTTGATGAGCAGGATGGAGAATTTTGACCATAAAAAGGTTTATAATTGTGAACTGCATAATCAAGGTTATATCTTTGTTGTTGGACTGGCATTTACAATTTGTATTCATTTATTTTTGCTATGGACTGGCATTTGTGTTGTGTGTGGATGTTAACAATGAGAGGTCATAGAACAAAGCTGTATGTACCTTCAAAGCATTTGTAATATCAAAAACAAGTTGGAAGACAGAAGAGAAGACACTTCCATGGGTTTTATGGATATTCAAACTTAAATATATGTCATCTAAGTAAAAAGAATAATAACAATGTGTGTTCAATTGGTATTGGAATGTATAGATATAAGGATGATAATCCTTAGCCAATGCCAACCAATGGGGATTCGGTTGCTGGCTGATGTTGTTGAAATTATAGTAGTGTAATTTTATCTTATAAATTTGTTGTGGACTTAAAATCTTTAAAACTCAGAACAATTCATGGAAGATGTAGCCTGCAGGATTGCTACTATCTTATGGTTTAGTGGCATTGTTATAAAGTAGGCGTTCCATTTTCCTGTTGAAAAATATGCAACTGGAGTACAAATTTTTGCGGTTCTAGGCTGTGTGCTTGGATGGTGGATTTAGGTTGCTATTAGGAATCTTCTTTAAATGAGACTTTTTCCCGTTGCAAAGTATGCAACTCAAGCACAAAGTTTTGTGTTGGCCAAGAAAATAAAAGTACAAAGTTTTGTGGTTCAGTGGAGATGGTTTGTTCTCAGAAAAGTATCACCCCATAAGAAAGGATTTTTAGTTTTTCTGGTCAGCCATGGTTGGCACTTACTGCCAATATCCCATTAACTTGATGTCTGAGACTTTTTCCTGTCGCAAAGTTTGAAGCTTTCTCATCTAAAGTACTACATGCAGTCTTCTTTTTACTTTTCTTTCCAGGAACTCAGTGGTCTTTTAGTCTTATTGTAGATCTTAACTGATTCAGTTTGGCGGAGAACTTATTGTTAGTCGATATCTTTCTTACATTACATTTATTTATTCTGTTAAACATTGTGATGGATTGATCTGGATTCTTATGGATGGTGTGCATGGTATTTCAAGTATTTAAGAAAGAAGATGTTTTCTCCTGTGATTTTAGTATCTCCTTACTGCACAGGCTGCTGAAAATGAAATGCATTTAAGGCAATTATTGCATGCTTCTTTAATATCTTTTCCAATGCAATGTGCTTCTACGATATCAATTCCTCATCTCTTCCATGTCTTCTGTCATAGGCAATCCCTCCTGTCACTCGGATGGCCCTTACACGAGATACCTGGATTACTGTGCTATGCAGAAAACTAAGAGACTGGTGGCATTGGGTAACTTGATCATTGTACTCCTTTATCTAATATTTGATAACCTTACAGCAAAGATTAGATCAGTTTTTGGTTTGGTTAATGCTTACACGAACACTGCACTCCAGGTTGCAGATGGGGAACTTCCCATTGTTGCTTCACATGGGTAGGTAGCTATGCTTTTGGAATACTCTTATCACGTGGTTCTTTGATTGTTCCTAATGTATTTTAACTTTTCAGTGTGGAAATTGAAGTGTATAAGTCACTTGATCCTGGTGTTCGCATTGTGATTTTGAAAGCATTATGCGATATTCGTGTTGAGGTACAGTAATCATCAATAGAAATTGCCTTAATCTTCTTCATTTGAACTTCTCTGCATATTGTGAACTTGAATTTTGATTTTCCTTCAGTATTATGGTATAATTGTGATGCACTTGAGTTTTTTTGTGCAACATCAATATATAGCATTAAAATTTGTTTACTTAATTATAATAACAAACTATTGGGATTTCTGCAGCTTAAGGTTGGACACTTGGGCTGTTTGTTTCTTCCTGATAAAATCAGTTTCAGTCTTATCTGTCAAGCTTTATCTTTTGGTTTGGTCCTTTTTCCATTTTTGTCATTCGGCTTGAATTAAGTCATCAATGAGGTCATAATCATAGTTTTGGTTTTTTGACACCATTGCATTAACATACTGGTTTACCTATTTATTGTCATACATCTCCCACCTTAGTGCCTTAGCCATATCTATATGTTTAAAACTGTTAGGTTCTTTTCTTTTTTCCTGCTTTTGCTGTCATTTTTCCTTATCAGCTTGACCAAATACAAGCTATTCCAAAAACGTTTATAGATTGAACTTATGGAACAATTGAATTTTGTTTGAATATCTTTAATTAATGATTATTTTAATTCTACCTGATCTATTTACATGAGTTTGTCATTTTTTGTGTTTATCTATGAGGCTATTGATATCCCTTTTATTTGTATGATTTTATATGTGTATACTTTAAGTTTTTACTCAGTGAAGAGAATTAAATCTCAATACCCTTCTGCAGCAAGAGGACATCCGAAACTACATTGACAACTCACTCAAACATGGTGTTCAACTTTCAGCCTTTAGAAAAGAACGTGTTGGTGGTGATTCACATGGCATCAATTACTGGTAAGGACTGTAGGCTTTTCATAAAGTATTTGATTAAATTTCCTTGTATTTATGCTGCATAACTCTTGATTTGGATGATCTACTTGTTAGAGATATTGAAATATTTTGGCTGAATGTTTTTACACTGCCGGGCACTGGTCTGTGGCCTGGTTTATAACCAACTTGATCTGTTATTTGCACAGGTATGAAGATGATCCAGTGATTGGTCATCGCTTATACCGGGAAATAAGAAAAGTTGAGTTGAAGAAAGGAAAGATGAAGGGTTCCCAGGTCCCTCCTAGTGCAACATATCAGTGGGAAACAGTTGCATCAAATTTGGAAGAATTCCAGGATGTGTCTGTAAGTTACCAAATGATCTATGGTTGTGCAAGTTCTTTGAATTTTGGCACTTTTCATCTTTAGGTCAACTTGGAGTAAGTTCTATCAAGTTGCTCAAAATACCTTTCTCAATTCTTGTTTCTGAATTTCAAATTTGATTTTATGGAAACAATTTTGAGCAATTGATGTGAACTCATTATTGCTTTTGGATTATATGTTCTTGGTGAGGAGAATTAATAGGCTGTACGTTCTGCTGTCATCCTCTAGTTTCATTCAAGTGTATGTCATACGTGTTAAAGTTATATATAATCAAACCAACATTCTTTTTTATGAACAGAGCCCAGTTATTTATCTAGCACTTTCTCTAAAATAAATGTTAAATGCGAAACTTGGTGCCTGGTGGATATTCAACCTCTGTTTCAGCAAGTTCCAGTAGGATGGGGTAAAGTGGTTATAACTTTGGGCATATGTAGCTTCCTCTTGATGTTTTGTTTGAATTTGAAAGTTGTTAGTTTTCATATTTTATGACTTTTAATTATTAAGATGTAATTTTATTATTGTGAATAATTTTGGTTTAGGTCCCCAAGGGTCATCTTTTGTTTAATTTTTAATGATGAAGAGAATGCATATTCTATATTGGTTCTTTTAGACTACAGTTTATTTGATATAGAAGGATTTAAGGCTTCTACTTGCCACTGTGTCTTTTTGTTCTTTTTATACACCTATTTTTAATAAATATTTTATTGTCTTCTACTATTGCAGGAGAAGCTTTTAGCCAGTAAAAATAGAACGGAGGCTTCACTAGGGAAGAAGTTAAAGAATGACATGCTTCCTGAGATTGAAAAGGAGCATAAGGTGCCCAAAAGCTTCTTGTTGACCATATTCTTATTGTCATTTAGTAATTGGGGATAAAATCAGATTTTCATATGCTAGCCCATGAGAACTGGTGTCTTTTAATTCTAAAAATGAAGTATTGTTTCTTGATCCACTTTATTCTTTTGCTCAGAGGAAAGAGAGGTTGCTGAAAAAGCAGCATAGACAAGCTTTGCTACTTGATAACCTTTTGACTGTTGATGGGCTTGGTCCAGGACGCTCGCTTCGAGACAGAAAGCCTGTCACTTATACTTTTGGTAAGTACATCAAAGTTTACCTGCCTTAGGTAGTCTTTCTTTTCTAAACCTTTGGTGCTCTGTTAATCACAGGACATCCTGGTTGGAGGTGGTCTTAGGTTCCTCTTAGAAAAAATTGGCCCTGAGAATATATTGAAATTTGATCTAACCTTCAAATATGTCAAAACTTAATCTGAATAACATTGGATTGTTATAACTTTTAATTTCTTGGGAAAGCTGCTGGCTGTAATGGGTTTTCATGTTTGTAAATGTTGTTTCTGTGTTAATCCGATTTCTCATATGATTTTGCAGATGATTATGATAAGTCAATCAATGAAGCAATCAAGATAACCAAGTATGGAATTTCTGCCCTAAACATACTTAACAGGGCCAATTCATCTTTGCTTCTTGAAATCATTTTCTTACCTCTTTTTTCCCTGCATCAGGCGGAAGCCCCCATCCCCAGAACCTGTCCCGAGAAGAGAAGTCATCAAACCTGAAGCTTCTGCAAATGGTAAATGGACTGGTCCTTCACATGTCTTTGAGCATGACGATTTCAATGCACTGTCCCCCAAATCCCCCGAAGAGGATTACATTGATGAACATAAACCTGAAACATTGGATAGAAGGTACGGTAATATTCTGCTGTGAAATTCATGTTATTGTTATTGCCTTTTAAAACTCCATTTAATTGTTCTACAATGAATGTAGCAACCGGCGGAGACGGAGGCCCCAACGTTATTCTGCTAAGGATTTTGTTGAAGCCGTTTCAGATATTGATGCAGACTTTGACAGTGATGATGATATAGTTGGAGAGGCTGTATATGATGAGGAATATCTGAGGAAACGGAAGCAAAGGAAAAGGTCCAGTAGCTCTGAAGGAGATGAGGAATATCGTTGGGATGATGAAAATGGTGAAGATGAGGAAGAAGAAGATGATTCTTTAAGTATTAGTGAGGAAATTGAGGAGGCACCAAAATTCAAGAAATTGCCTGGCCGTACTAGGAGGGAAACAAAGTTGAGGTCAGTTGATGAGCTCCAGTCAGGTCTAAGACGTAGTAAAAGGGCCACTAGAAATCGTATTAATTACAGACAATATGAGCTATCAGAATCAGAAACAGAATCGAAGCCCAGAAAATCGAATGCATCAGATGGACACTCACACTCAGATCTGAGTGAGAATGAGGAGTATTCAGAAGGAAGCCAATATTCTGATGGCAATGAAAATGATGACCAAGAAATGAAAGTCGATCAGCCTGTTGAAGAAGGTAAAACTGAGACAGTAGAGAAAGACCAAAACCAGCCACCTGAGAAATCAGGTAGCCCAGGTCAAGATGAAGCAGAGGGTGTACCGAACAGACGCTTCCTTGACTTAAATGAGCTTGCCCCTGGTTCTGGTTTTGATGATGTTCCAAACACAATAACAAAAGATGATGATAAAGATGCTTTCTAAAGCTTCCCTCTCTTCTGCTGGATAGCAAGGCTTGTAATTTTTACCTTGGGGAGGCTACATGTACGATAGTAAATTTTATAAATTTTGTAACGAGCCAATAAGAGGAAATTATGATCAGGGTTCCTCGATTGGCTTTATTCTACGTTGGTGCATTTCATTCAGGATTTGCAGCAGGAAAAGCATCAATGAGGAGAGTCATGTAGATTAGGTAGTGATTTTTTAGCATGTCTACAATGAAGAAAACCTACGGCAGGTCGATTGGAATTTGGCCAGAGTACTTTAGCCTATCTGATTAATGTACAAGTACCTCTTAACTGATATTGTAACTTCAAAAAATTGGCTTTTAGATGTAAAGCCCTGTAGTTTACTCTTTTTCATCTGCTTCTTATGCATCTGGGTTGGTTGGGTCCCCTAGATGATAGATTTTCTTTATTGTAATGGAACCATCCTCCCTCTGAGTGATTTTAATTGTTCCCTTTTCCAGATTATTGTTCATTCTGTGATTTCTCTTTCTCATGTTAGGCGTTACAGGCAGGAGATATTTGTAAGCCAACGTCTGCATCTAGCTTTGTTCTTCTGGTACCCAATGGTATTCAACTCGCGAGGCATTGACAAAATTTGATTCAGGTCTCGTTACATATTTGAAAATTATACATGGGAATTGGGAAACCCCCATGATTGCTGCCACAATGAACTATTCAGGAACTCATCTGGGGATTTTCAGTTGCTTTATTCTCTTGGGATTGAGCAGCATCATATTCCTTCATGGAAGATACTCCATTTTGCTTGTAAGCCGCAACTTCATTCTCTGTTTTCCTTAGTTCTTCTTCTTCCTGCTCTGTTGTCTTTCTCTCTGCCTCTTCCTTCTCTGCATTTCTCCTTGCAGCTTCTTCCTTTGGCTTCTTTCAACGCCTGAACTAAGCTCGAAAGGGTTCTCTCCGCGTTATCCGAAGGAGACATCGGCATCAGATTCTCTACATCATTGATGTGACTCCACATTCAGGTAATTTTCCGCGAGCACCTTGAATACCTCGAATCTATAGTAGGAGAGTTCTATGTGCTTGTCCATCCTTCCCCTTCGGATCAACGCCGGATCAAGCTTCTCTACGTAATTAGTGGTGAACACAATCAGCCTCACCCCACCACACGCAGACCAGAGTACATCTATGAAATTCAACAACCCAGAAAGAGTCCCCTTGCTGCTGCCGCTTCCCTCTTCCTCTCCCTCCTCCCTCGCTTTGTCCATCTTCCTCTTCTCCTTCTACTCCTCAGAACCCTTCTCTGGTTTCTCCTTCTCCACTATGTCTTCAATCACTATGATTGACTTGCCTGTTGTCTCAATCAACGGCTTCCTAAGCTCTCTCTGTGTTGTCCTTTACCGCCGTAAGCTCGAGATCATAGATATCATAGGTCAACAGATTGGCCAGGCGGCGATCATGGTGGATTTTCCTGTTCCGGGAGGATCGTAAAGCAAACGCCCTAGTTTCCAAGCTTTCCCAATTCGAGCATAAAAGTCCCTGCTCCGACTAAAGGTCACTAGATCTTCGATGATCTCCTGCTTCTTCTGTGGCTCCAATGCCATTGTCTCGAACGTTGCCAGATGTTCGAACACGATGTGGCTCCACAACGTCTGCTTGTAGCTCGGCCATTTTTAGCCACGGACTCTTGGTGTACAGCTTTCTCTGCCGGTTCCGCACTCGAATTTCTTTCCCCTCCTTCACCACATGCTCCAGGTACGCCTCTGTTATGCTTCCCCGGTGCTGCGTGTGAAATGTCAGCCAGTAAAAGCCTCACGTCCTCCTCGGGATAGTACTGGTGCCGACCTCTCCCGCGACATGACTTTGCTGGCGACCCACCAGACTAACGCCGCGAAACTGATCGGTGACTATCTCGTACTCGTCCATACTGAGAACCAAGTTGGGACACTATCTTCACCCATCTCGGCCTTAAGCCTTTCGGCTGCCCGGATAGAGTTAGCGACGAAGCTCGTAGGGGCAGCACTGGTGGATGAACGCTCAGACGAACATGAAGGTGACGATGGTCGAGTCCATCGTCGCCCACATTTCCGTGATGGTCGGCGGCGCCATCCCTGCTTCTAGGTAGCAGCTATCTAATAAAAATTTTATTAAAATTTTAGTAAGTTGTTAATATTTTTATATTTGGTAAAACTAGCGGCGGAACCAGTTGGTTTAGTCAGGACGGTCGGTGTTTTAAATTTTAAAATAATACATTGTAATTTTAAAAATTTATTTTTATATTATAAATTAAAATAATATTTGATGGGTTTTAATGTTATAAAATCTATTTATAATAGAGTCTACGTTAAATGAATGAATTATTTTTTTTCAATATAAATAAGGTTAAATACCTTTTTTTGATCTCTCTACTACATGAAAGAGTCTCTTTTTGGTCCCTTTATCAAAAAAATCTCTTTTTTGATTCTTAAATTTTAAAATCTGATCCATTTTTAGTCCTTCTGTTAATTTTTGCTCACGTAGCACGTTAACTTAACTGGAACAACTGATGTGGATATGGCAACATGTTAAAGACAAGGTTGTCAAAATCGAGATTTTACCTAAAATCGTTTTGGTTAGGTGAAATCAGAATCATAAAATCGAATCGGTCAAATCGAGATTTTACAAAATTTAATATATAATATATAATAAATTATATAAAATCAAAATTAAATAATAATAAATCAAATTTAGAGTTAGAAACTTGAAATTAACTAATTAAAATCTAGGTTAAATCCCTATTTTGGTCCCTGAATACGGACCCTCGATTTGGTCCCTAAACTAAATAAATCCTTAATTTTGTCCTTGAACTATTGTACGGACTCCTGAGTTGGTCCCTAAACTATTGTGCGAACCCCCAAGTTAATCCCTAAACTGTTATACGAATCCCCAATTTGGTCCCTACTATTTACCAATTTAGCCCCAACTTGGTCCTTTTGTTAAATAATAGCTTAGGGACCAAACTGGGGTGAAATTGTAAACAATAAGGACCAAATTAGGGGTCCGTACAATAGTTCAAGGACCAAATTAGGTCAAATTATAAACAGTGTGGACCAAATTGGGGGTTCGTACAATAGTTTAGGGACCAAATCAGGGATTTCTTTAGTTCAAGGACCAAATTGGGGGTCCGTACAATAGTTCAGGGACCAAAATGGGCATTTAACCTAAAATCTAAATATCCAACAACACAAATAAATTAAACGAAGAAGATGACTTAAATTTAGAATTTTAGATGGTTAAATCAAATTTGTCTCGAATTCCCGATTAAAATGTTGATTTGTGGTTGGGTTGTGTGGGTTGTAGGCTTTTAAAATGAAAAATGAGTTTAATTTATGGATTATCTAGTCAAAACTCACTAACCTAAGATGAGAAGCCTAAAAGGAAATAGGCAAAAAGTTCAACTGTCAAATAGAAGATAAAATCAAGATTTTACCTGATTTCACGGTAAAATCTAGATTTTACCGTGAAATCCCTAGATTTTATGAATTTCAGATTTTAATATAAATTTTACACGAAATGTCTTGCTAAAATTGTAAAATCATAAGATTTTAAGATTTAAATCTAGATTTTGACAACAATGGTCAAAGATGCTTACATGGACTTAACGACACCCTTCATGTCACCCTCCCCTACGTGGAAAATTAAAAAAAAAAAAGGTTAAATACTAAATTTGATTCCCCAACTTTATAAGTTTGCACTTTTTTTGTCTTAAATTATTTTTTTTCATTTTTTCATCTTTTAACTCTAAAACTTGAACAATTTTAGTCCCTCCATCAGTTAAATATAATGTGATAGTTAAATAATTTCATTTGACATTTTCTTTTAATTTCTTTTGATGACATGACAATTATATATATTATAATTATGTTATATAGATAAATAAAAATGTCACGTAGATAAATATTTATATTTTAATTAAAAAATAAAATTACATTATTACCTTCACCTCCCAATCCCTCTTCTTCCCCTTCTTTCTTTCTCTTTCTTTCTTTCCTACCTAGATCGGCTGAGTTCGTCGAAACCCAGCTATTGGTCGACCCATAAAAGGTTAAATGCTATGACGTTGAGAGTTCATATTCTCACAAATCAAACTCACTAAAACTTGCAAAAAAACTATGAACCCTAAAATGCTACAAAGAAAATTTTGAGTTCTCTATCATCGAATCCAGTTACTAGTTTCATTAAAGCCACTGAGTTCATCAAGCCAATAGATCTCACCAAATCAAATTAACCTTTCAATAAACAAATGCAATCAAACTCTAATCCAATTCCAACAAAAATGCAATCAAATTGTAAATCAACTCTCAAATTTATCAAGAACCGAAAATGAAAATCAAAATAAGAATGAAAAAACTTGAACCCAGTGTCGAAACCCATCAAGGCTGGGTTTCGACGAAACCAGCAAGCGCGACCAGCATGGCTGGGTTGGTCGAAACCCAACCTTGCTGGTTTCGTCAAGTCTTGGTTGGTCAAAACCCAGCCTTGCTAGTCGCGCAAACCCAGTAGCTCGATTTTGACAAACCCAACAAGGCTGGGTTCGAGTGACCAGCAAAGCTGGGTTCAACGAAACCCAGATCATCGTCGAACCCAACTACCTAGCTCATTGGAACCCAGCTACCCAACTCATCAGAACCCAGCTGATTTGGGTAAGAAAGAAGAGGAAGAAGAGGGATTAGGAGATGAGGGTAATAATGTAATTTTATTTTTTTAATTAAAATATAAATATTTATTTACGTGACATTTTTATTTATCTATATAATATAAATATAATATATATAATTGCCATGTCATAAAAAAAATTAAAAGAAAATGTCAAATGGAATTATTTAATTGTCACGTCATGCTTAACTGACGGAGGGACCAAAATTATGCAATTTTTAGAGTTAAAAGATAAAAAAAATGAAAAAAATAATTTAAGGACCAAAAAAGTGCAAATATATAAAGTTGAGGAATCAAATTTAGCATTTAACCCTTTTTTTTTCTTTTCCGTGCAGGGGAGGGTGACATGGAGGGTGTCATTAAGTCCATGTAAGCATCTTTGACATGTTGGCATATCCACATCAGTTGTTCCAATTAAGTTAACGTGTCACACGAGCAAAAATTAACGGAATGACTAAAAAGGGGCTGGATTTTAAAATTTAGGGATCAAAAAGGAGATTTTTTCGGTACAGGGACCAAAAGGGGGCTTTTTCCTCTAGTAGAGAGACCAAAAAGGGTATTTAACCTATAAATAATCAAAGAGCTTGAAAGGAATTCATTCTCTATTTTGTTGCGAATTTTCATGGCAAAAAATGTTGTTTTTGTTGCTACTATAGAAATTGAAAGAGTAAACACCAAAGTAATTAACTTGTAAATGAGAGTATATACCTTTTATTTTTTTGTCTCCACAAGCCACTGACATAATTCAAAAATATTTGAAAATTCTGAAAACCTTGATCACAACTCGTTTCAATCTCATAATGTCAAAGTTCTAATCTCAAATGAAGTTTCTCCATCTTTAAAAAATCTTGAGGATGACAAATATAAAATACGATAACATCCTATCTCTTTACCCTACCACTTTTTACAATCAAACAAATTTTTTCGTTTTTACAAGCTAATTACACTTTATACTAAACATCTACTTTTTATACTAATTTATCTTCCTATTGCTTTTCTCTATATGACTATATCCAAGGTTTTTCCTTTTATTGGGTTCATATATATTCCCTTTATGGATCTATACAATCTTTTTTTCAATTTTTTGTACTCCAATCCAATTCTATTCCATATAACTTCAATATTATCATAATATTCAATTTTATTTGTAATCTCAACGACTCTAAATCCTAAAAGGAAATTATACTATTTTTTTCTGATAATAAAAAATCAATAAGTTTCATCACTTAAATATTACTTCCTCCATACTAGAATAATAGATTTTTTGTTTTATCTTCAAATGAAGGACTTGAAAACAATTTCTATTTTTACCTATTTTATATTTAAAAAATAACTAAGAATAAATATCTACTTCAATCAAAAGATAAATAATTAAAATTAAGAGGTAATTATAGGGTAAAAGTAGAAAAAAAGGTTAAAGTACCATTTTGGTCCCTCAACTTTCCACTTTAACATCAAAATTGTCCCTCAACTTTAAAAAGTACCAAAATTATCCTTAAACTTTCATTTTCGGTATCAAAATAGTCCTTCAGTCAGTTAAGTGCACATGTGGCACGTTATCTTGCCACAAAATCACATTTAAAAAATAATAATAATTATGTTGAAAACAAACTTGATGAGATGGCATTTTTCTTTTTCCATGTGGCATTTTGTTCTTATTTAAATAAAAACCCACATTATTATATTATTCTTTTTCTTCTTCCTCCCTTCTTTCTCATCCCTCCGCCCCTTCCTCTTTCCCAACCTTTTTCCTCTGCACCGATGAATGGGTTTGCTCAGCAAGCAGAGAGCATGAGTGAAGGGATGGCAAAGACTGTCATGAGCAAGTTCGAGCCGGGTAGGGTTCTGAT